TTTGAGATTATCTATCCATATCATTTCATTGTATTTGACATCTTTACATCACCAAATTTGGCATTTCAAAAATTTCTAATTATTTTAAACTACTTGACTTAGACTCTCTAATTTCGTTTAGAAATTTGCTAAATGATTTATCGAAACTGGATAAACTTTTAAAATATCTTTATTCAAAAATCTAGAGAATGTTCTCAATTATTATTCTACGTTTGTTCAAATCAACATTGATTAAGTATCTTTTACATACAACTTTTATATAACTACTCGAGCAAAGTTTAAAACTATCTCTTTAAAATATATCTGCTTGTCTATCTCTCTTTCTCTTTTTCTGTGTATAATCATTACATGTATATATGTCACAAAGTGTTAACTACAGTAAATATATATATTTATTGAGTTAACACTTTGACAATTGTAACATATGTAAAAAATTGTAAAATTGACAATTGTAAAAAATTAATTACTGTCTTATTCCAGTGTATCCAAATACATCTTCAGAAAACATAGAATCAGCATCAATTATAACTGAATGCTCATTACTAAAGCCACCATCTAATAAAGAAATAAGATCTTCTGGAACGTAACTATCTGCTGCATCTTCTGCATCATCACCTTCTTCATCTTCTCGTGACAAAAGATTGTTTACTGCTAAATTTACATCTAGATTTGTACGCTGCAATATTAATAAAATTATTTTATTAAATTATGTAATTTTTTATTATTTTACATTCTTTTTATTTACAACATTAATATTAAACCTGTAATTCTCTGATAATAAGATTGCGACTTTTTCCTTGCAATACAACTTGTGCCTGAGATATTAGATCTTCCGGTACAAATGGTGCTGGTACAGAGGCGATAGGACGAGAATTGCTACCACTTCCTCCACCCATAATAACTCCAGGTGGTCCTATACGACCACCACTTCCACTCCCTCCACTGTTGTTACCTCCACGTATCGCGGAACTGTTACGCATGATTCGCGCACGTGAACGTGACATCCCTGTTCTATTACCACTACTGCTATTTCCATTTCCATTTGGTGCAGAATTAGAGTTTCCAATATGATTTTTATTTGTACTAAAATAATAAAATAGACATTTTCTGATTATTGCATAAACTGTCCTTTCATAAGGTGACCCTAACATGGTCAATAATACTGATCAGTATTAACAAATATTATCAATATTGATAGTGTATGGTTAATATTGATGGATTGACATAGAATATTGACAATAATCTGAATTTTGATTCTCAAACATCAATATCGCTTTATTAAGAACCGCATCATAATATCACAATATCATCATAAAAAATATAATGTATATAAAAATATAATGTATATAAAAGTGAAATATATTGTTAATAATATTGATCGTGTAAAGTTATCGTATAAAAATATTAAAAATATTGATGCATACTGTCAGTATGGGTGAGATTTTTAAATTTATCGATTGATTAATCGCTTATTGATTATATTGAAGCAGCTTTATAGAACAAAAATTGTATTTGCACACAATATGATCAATCAATGAATTAGAAAACTCATCCTTACTGATTCAATATTACTGATCAGTATTATTGACTATGTAGAGTCATGTATACATTTGCTCTATTTTCACTCACTTTCTATTAGGTTCATTTTTACTCAAATCCAATCTATCTGGTAGCACTGTAAATGCAACTCTAGCTATTCTATTGTCATCCGTGAGAAAAGCAATATGGCTTGGTCCAACTACAATACGCTTTATTGATGCTTTTAAAGAATTAAAAGCTAATGGTGTTACGAATCCATATCTATTTATTTTATCCGCTATTTCCCTCAATCTAAAACAATATAAAAGCATAAAATACAATATTATTATATTTTAGATGCATAAAATAGATTAAATATATAAAATAGACAATTATCTTTTTGAAATTAAAGAATATAAAATAAAAATGTTTTTTTCCATTGCTATTGCAAGATAATTTTTTCATTATAGTGGTAACGTATTAAATATATTACAAGTTTGATAACAAGTTTCAACAATGCATTATTTATTCATTATCTCTTAACAAATATATCTTGCATTTTTCTGCAATTATAAGACTTGAAGCGTACATGTAAAAACAAGATTAATTATTGGATACCACATTTTTATAAATTGCCATTAAAATATGGCGAGGATAATGTCAACGAAGACGTACATTTGTTACGCTAATACACGCGAAATAAGAAGAGAAATGGGAATAACGCATACGTAACAAGTCACAATATGTCGTGACATGTTGCAACAGTAATGAACCACTTTGAAATAAGAAAAAAAATAGTATTTTTTCTCGGGTATGATATATAAATTAGAATGCAGTAATGTGTGAGAAACTGATAGCAGATGAAATTTCTCACCTATCATTGAGTTGGTCATCAGTTCCTGGCAAAGGATGCACGACAAGATGAATCGAAGTCATAATGACTTCAAACTCACATGTGTTCGACGTCAGATCGTTCTTTCACTGTACACAAAATTTTACTGAACGACGAAACAATAATTCAGCCATGTTTTTAGTGGAACATCCAGTTACATACCTCAGGCAAACATGGCGTGGTGTTCTCCGCGTTCATAAACGCATCGCTTACATATCTTCTTCTTCTTCCTTTTTTTAGTCTAGGGCCGATTTCGCCAATTTAATCGACGTTTAACTAACCAATCGCATTTGCTGTTTAGTAGAATTGATTGGTCAATTCTAGTAAACAGGTAATGTTATTAACTTTAGTAATTCTAGGAGCTTTCCAGCAAGAGTATGATATACAAATTGGACGAGTTCAAGACGGCAAAGCGGCTAGACATGCTTACCGAATGATTGAATATGATTGGTTTAATCTATAAGCAACAACCAATTATGCTCATTTGCTTAGCAAGCAGGCTAATCGCTTTGTCAACTTTAATAAGCTTATTGACACAAGAGTTATCTTATCCATAGTGGAATTATATAAGGTGAACCATTGCGCATAATGGCAGAGTTTGACCAATCAAAATTGTACTACTTTGGAATGTACTTATTTGCAGAACGAATCATATGAATTTCTGCATCAAATAAATTGATTGGTTGTCAATCAAAAATTGATTGGTTGTCAGATCTCCCCATTACTTTCAACCCACTGCGCATCCGTGAGAATGGTTCATCTTACTATACTTACATTATGATCTTATCCTTGTTCGATAATCAGTGCTTTCCATTTGATACAAATCGACACAAGATGCAAGTTCCATGATGCAAGTATAAATCCTGTTCTACAACAGAGGCCTACCGAGAGTTTAATTTGGATCAAAATGTAAGAACCAATCAATTACAATCGAGTATTCTCCTGTCGTTCGACTGTAATAGAAAAATACTCGACTCGATAGTTGGTTGGTTCTTCTAAGTTTATTCGCGTCGCATGCTCCAACATGTTGGATAATATGCTCCTACCATAGCTCTTACTCTTTCCAATGCGCTTAATAGAGTGAATAGGAGCTGTAGTAGGAGCATGTTGAAGCATGTTGGAGCTTGCGACGCGAACAAACCTTCTGATCCGGTTTAAACCCTTGATAGAAACTAGGCCATTGTAAAGACTTAAATACAATAGGAATAGGGAATAACAAGCTGTCCAATCAGGGGATCGATTATGTATCTTGAAACGAGATGAAAATTACAAGTGAGCGAATTTACTAGAATACTAATAATTTCATTGATCAACATCTAATAAATTTACTCACTTTTTTTTACCTTGTTTGAAGATACAGAATCGATCTCCAGAGCTTTGATATCCGATATCTGATAGATTGAAGTCATTATTCCTTATTTCTCATTCCTTATTCCTTCTATTGTAACTGTATCTTAAAAGAGTGAAAATTTGAAACAGAATGTTGATTCTTTCGTATATTTTAATAAAAGCTTGCTTTCCGATATGCAGATTATATATATATATATATATAT